TTAATTAAAAATCTCACGCTACGAAAAATGAGGTCTAAAGGTTTTCAGCGATTATCTTGAAAGGTGTTATTTCGGGGCTAGGGCTGCAGAGATGATGGCCTTGAACGGTGCAATGAATTAATTAAAAACCTCATGCTACGAAAATGAGTGTCTACAGGTTTTCAGCGATTATCTTGAAAGGTGTTATTTCGGGGCTGCAGAGATGATGGCCTTGAACGGTGCAATGAATTAATTAAAAAATCTCATGCTACGAAAATGAATTAATTAAACGTTTTCAGCGTTTATCATTGACGTGAGTTTTTTCGATGAGTGTCTAGAACGGTGCAATGGGTTAATTTTAATGAGCGATTATCTTGAAAGGTGTTATTTTCATGGGATTATTCTAGTGCTGCAGAGATGATGGCCTTGAACGGTGCAATGAATTAATTAAAAAATCTCACGCTACGAAAATGAGTGTCTGCAGGTTTTCAGCGATTATCTTGAAAGGTGTTATTTCGGGGCTAGGGCTGCAGAGATGATGGCCTTGAACGGTGCAATGAATTAATTAAAATCTCACGCTACGAAAATGAGTGTCTGCAGGTTTTCAGCGATTATCTTGAAAGGTGTTTTTTCGATAGGGCTGCAGAGATGATGGCCTTGAACGGTGCAATGAATTAATTAAAATCTACGCTACGAAAATGAGTGTTTAAAGGTTTTCAGCGATTATCTTGAAAGGTGTTATTCGGGGCTAGGGCTGCAGAGATGATGGCCTTGAACGGTGCAATGAATTAATTAAAAATCTCACGCTACGAAAATGAGTGTCTGCAGGTTTTCAGCGATTATCTTGAAAGGTGTTATTTCGGGGCTAGGGCTGCAGAGATGATGGCCTTGAACGGTGCAATGAATTAATTAAAATCTCAAGCTACGAAAATGAGTGTCTGCAGGTTTTCAGCGATTATCTTGAAAGGTGTTATTTCGGGGCTAGGGCTGCAGAGATGATGGCCTTGAACGGTGCAATGAATTAATTAAAAATCTCACGCTACGAAAATGAGTGTCTGCAGGTTTTCAGCGATTATCTTGAAAGGTGTTATTTCGGGGCTAGGGCTGCAGAGATGATGGCCTTGAACGGTGCAATGGATTAATTAAAATCTCACGCTACGAAAATGAGTGTCTGCAGGTTTTCAGCGATTATCTTGAAAGGTGTTATTTCGGGGCTAGGGCTGCAGAGATGATGGCCTTGAACGGTGCAATGAATTAATTAAAAATCTCATGCTACGAAAATGAGTGTCTACAGGTTTTCAGCGTTTATCATTGACGTGAGTTTTTTCGATGAGTGTCTAGAACGGTGCAATGGGTTAATTAAAATTAATAAGGTTTTAAAGATTTTCAGCGATTATCATGAACAATGATTATTCTGGGCTAGGGCTGCAGAGATGATGGCCTTGAACGGTGCAATTGATTAATTAAAATCTCATGCTAGGAAATGTTTTGTCTGCAGTTTTTCAGCGATTATCTTGAAAGGTCATATTTCGAGGCTAGTGCTGCAGAAATGATGGACTTGAACGATGCAATAGATTAATGAAAATCTCATGATAGGAATATGAGAGTCTACAGGTTTTCCCGATTATCTTGAAAGGTGTTATTTCGGTGCCAGTGTTGCAGATATGATGGCATTGAACGGTGCATTGAAGTAATTCAAATCTCATACTACGAAAATATGTGTACAGGTTTTCAGCGATTATCATGAACGGTGATTATTTCAGCGATTATCATGAACGGTGATTATTTCAGCGATTATCATGAATGGTGATTATTTCGGGGCTAGGGATGCGAAGATGATGACCTCTAACGATGCAATGTTTTAATTAAAATTTAATTCATGTAAATCACTGTCTACACGGTTTTAGTTCTTATCTTGAACGTTGATTCTTTCGAGGCTAAGGCTGCAGAGATGATGGCCTTGAACCGGGAAATGTATCAATTCAACCCGGAAGCTTTTTCGAATAAAGGATGGCCCTTTATTTTGATGACATTACACACTGAGATATGAATCTCATACATCTTTTACACGCGGTGAGACTTGCGTTGTAGATTTTGACATACCTTAACATTCTGTTGATTCGCATTGAAACATTTCTTTTACTAATTCCCGATCAACATTTTCATTTCTTTCTCTTCGCCTATTAAAAGCTGACAAATGTGATCACATTCACTGCACAGTAACTATAGTATATCAGAAAAGCTCACTAATCCTTTTCTACGGGAAAAAGCGGCTTTGTTTAAGTTGAACGAAACTATAAGAGAAATAATCAACGTGTTTTGCCAGGCTCTCAAATATTAATGGGTTAGATTTCAATTTAATTCTACTGTTGAATTATATTTTAGGTGTTGTAATCTCGCATTTTTATCTAAAAATTACAATTGTCGCATGTTATAAAACATTCTGTTGTTTAGTCGACACGCGCTCGCATCTGTGAATGCCCGTCCTACACCCGAAGAGTGGTGAACAGCAGTCACAGAAGAAGGGTGTGGGTGGTGTACACGGCTGGGCGGGTCGGGCCCTCCTGACAACACGTCGCATATCCTTTTCATGTTGACGCTTAGTCCCTAACCTGGAAAGTCCTACGCCAGGAAGACCGATTTGCAGCAAAGCTTTCCCAGGTCTCAGGGTCGATGTTGGCCTGTGTCAGAGATGTCTTCAGCTGATCCTTGAAGCGTCGTCTTGAACCTCCGCTTAGCTTCTTGCCACTGGTGAGTTCTCCAAACAGGAAGATACGTGGGAATCGTGTGGGACGCATTCTGGACACGTGATTTTAATATGAACATCAAATTTGACCGCATCGATTTTTTTAATCTGTTGTTTAAATTATTAAAGAATAAAATTGTACGAACAAAAACGAAAAATAAATCAAATGCAGTCATATTTTCCTTGTTTCTAATTCGATATTCGTCGATTGGCACCGAGTAATGATTCTTATTAGAATAATTTAGGAAAAGTGTGATCTGTTTATATGACTTGATAATTCACATTATATTGCGTTTAATTCTAAACTGTCAACTGGCATTAAATTTTGACACCATATTTAAACAATTTTGCAATTATATTGAGAAGAAAGAATTTCTCCTTTTTAAATGATATCATGTCGAAAGAAAGCTAACACAGCCCGCACTGTCCGAAAATGATAACGATATTAAAATAATTTTACAATTGCTTTGCTTATAATTTCTACATGATGAATCTATGATCTTTATACAATTAACGATGATTTCGTATATAAATAAGACTTTTGCTTTTTAAATCATTAAAAGTATAAATATGCAAAGAAAGCTAGCAAAGTAAACGAAATAAAAACAACGTGTAGAAAGTTATCACGATATATATATACATACATACATACATACATACATACAAGGGAAGCAAAATCGAATTGATAAAATTGGGTGTTTGCGCATAAGGATCTGTGCACATCTTCCGGCATCTAGAAAATACAATCTTAATTTCTAACCATTCAAATGCTTTCTCGCTTCTTTTTGGTAAGATAGAAAATCAGCCTATGTGATCCAATGTGATTTTTATTCTCATTGACATTCATCATTAAAGTAGATAGCCAATCCCCATTCCCAAAGCGATAACTAATGTTTAAAACGTATTTTTAAAAATGAAAAAAAATCTTGAGCTTTTATTTTATTTTTAATTTCAAGCTAATAGATTAAATTTAATATTTTCAATAAGCAACAGACTTTGCTGTATTTCAAACACAATTTAAATTGATTGTAGTGATTTTTTAAATTACTAAAATCGAAATTGATAAATTGTTCTTTTTATTAAAAAAATCTTTAAAAAAATAAAATACTTTTCAGAAACGTTATTTGAGGAAGATTAACTGATTTAAAGTTAATTAACTTGAATTAAAACAAATATTACTTTTAGTTTAAGATATTGCAGCAAAGCATTTTTTATTATTTGACGAATACAACGTGGGCGCCTTTTTTATATAATTTTTCGTTACCCAGTAACCTTTGAAAAAGGATGAAAATATTCTAAGTAATCTAATATTTTATTGAATTTTAGATACTTTGACTTTATAGTATTATTTACGAAGGCGCTTGTTGAGGAAATGTTTGAAAATTAGCAATAAATTTGAAATTTATTATAGTTATTGCTCTTATTTTCTGATAATGTCGTATATGGACATCCGTATTTACAAAAATCGTACGTTTATACACGCAGACAAAAATTGATAATTCATTTTAAAATATTGCAGGTCGATGAATTGTAGTAAGTTTTTCCATTTATGATTAGTAAATATAGCGTTTACTTAAGAACAATATCACCTAACCGCTACAAATTAATACAGAATTTTAAGATTTAAAACTTTATAAATTATCATTAAAATTTTGAAAGAAATGAAAGAATTCTTGCAAAAATTCATTATTCATTGAAAAATTTTTTCTTAAGACAATTGTGTCCATAATATATTTGATTTATAAAAGCGATGAAAAGCTTTTCAAATTAAACATTGTCTTACTTTAATTGAATTTTTTTATTTTATGATTCAGAGTATATTTTTCGTAACTGGGAGTCCTGTTTGACAAAAAGAACTTTATTTAAATTCTCTAAAGACTTGTCCTTATAAGAAACATTTTAAAAATTTCATTCATTTGTGAATAAGTCTTGAAAGTTTTATTAAAAACCAACAATTATAAAACATGAGGATATTTCATTACTTATCAGGGGTAATCAGTTTGAATGACTGATAAATGATATCAAGTAACATTGCATTTTATCGAGTAGATTGTCAGTTGGCCTAAAATTTTGATAACAACATTCAAAACACGATGTTGTCACCGATTAGATAAGAAGACCAGGTTTTCATTGATGTTCTATTTGCTATGAATTAAAATCTGTTTTCTTTCTTACCGCTCTTCTAATGTGAAGCCATGTACTTGATATCTTTCATTAAGTGACAACAACTCTCTTCACATATATTGCTATTCGTTTCAATGACCATTTAACTTACCAATACACATGCCATAGACGAAACAATAGGCGGACAACAGTTCATAACTGAGACAGTAGGGAACAAGAACTGTGACGGTGCCAGCCAGTAGCAAAGATATATAGTTGATCATCAGACAGTTGGCCCATTTCTGGTCACTGACCCAGCCAACGGCCACTCGGAAGATAGTGTTCGATATCCCAATTATGGAAATCAATAATGAAGATTGGCGTCCACTGAATCCTAAGTGGTCGCCTAACGAAGGGAGGTAAGAGAATGGCACGAAAAAACCTGGAAAATAAACAAACAAATAAGACAATTTTTTTCAGTAATGTTGAGAAAAGTTCTGAAATTCAATATTTTGTTTGCAGGAACTCCTTTTTCATATTCTTGATGTTTCGGTCGATTAATTCTTTTCGTCTTTCGAAATTTATTTTTTCTTCTTTTATTGCATCCGATACTCATAATGAAAACAGAAGAATAGAACAAAATTAAAACTTTGTACTAACAACATGAAGAACACGAAGAAGGAGTTCAGTTGAAAGTGAAATAATATTCATTGTAGCCATAATGCTTGTAAAGATATCGCCTATAATCTTGGGGAGAATCATTATCGCTCCGTGAATGGTTCGGACTATTGTGATCATCTTTTTATCCTTTACTTTACCTTACGCCATTTTTTTTTTCGCATATGATGAGTTTCATAACGCACTAGTTTCAGACAACAAGAGAAACCTAGAGCGAAAAATTTACTGATCAGGTTAACAAGTTATGCCAGAAGCTCACAGCAACACATGTCTAATCTTACGAGAAATGCTTGTTCATATTCTATGCAGGCTTGCTCTCTCTTTCTTTGCTGAACGACAAAGTATCCACAACGCATTGAAATCTACACTAACCTAATTTATTTATTTATTTATTCTTTCAATTTTTCTATTCTCTAGTAATTCCCCCGCTCCAATTTGAAGAAGGCTATAGAATGGATCGGCCAAATAAAAGAAAGGTCAAAGTCTGAACAGTTCTTTGAAGGTTTGATAGCTTTTCATTTAAATTATTGTCGGGAATTAACATAGATTGTTAAAAACTGCATAAAAACAAAAGATAATAATTTTCAGTTTGTTTTATTTTCTGAATTTCTTTTTATCAACAATTTCTATGTGGATAATATACTCAAGAGAAAAAATACGAAAAAAAAAAAAACAAACAAACAAACAAAAAAAACCCTCGAATCTACCCTCGTCTGAGACAAAGCCCCGATATACAGTATCCACTAAAAGTGAACTTATTATTATTAACATACAAGACCTCTGCTCTACGACAAGAAAATAGTTATTTACCGAAGTACTTAGTTAAGCCTGGTACAAGGTCATTGTAGCAGAGCAACCAGTTAGGATTGATTCAACTAAACTAGAAAAGTGGTCTTCAAAACAAACCTGCTAATCAATGAACCGTGATAGACACTCATCTTAGCCCAGCATCCAATGAAGATCGTAGCTTGATAGTCGCTTTACGACAGGCGCCCTTATATGTAGATATTTAATAAGTATCTGTCTATATTTCTGAGATGAGGTATTATGAACACTATTTACATTATTCGGACTTTTGTCCTCAAGACACATGGCACAGTGGATAAAGGTGTTAGTTAGATCCAGTGACAGGACCCAAAGAGTGTGAGTTCAATACCCGGTTAAGGCAGTGGAGAACTTGGAGAGGGGAATTAACAGGAGATAACTGATAACTGACATCCATTAAACATGCCACGTGGAACTAGAACAGTCTACTCCAGTGAGCGAAATAAAGGGTTCAGTTCGACATTCCAACCACCTGAAGAAGGTCGGAGCGTACAACGGCCGAAACGTTGTAATAAATATGGCGACAAAGATGAGGAAATAGTACGAATAATGTAAATAGTGTGTTTAGTATGGTACAAGACTACAGTAGCGAGGTAACCATTAAATGTGTACATATACCGTTATGCAATACAAGAGAACAGGATCTGCGAACATAGTCTAAACTCTGGCCATAGGTGTTGAGGCTAATATGTGAAAGGCATGAAACCACTGCTGCCACGAAGTGCATCAACGATCAAAGGCACTACATTGCTTGAACGTCGACGCATATTTACAGGGTGTTTGGGACGTTAATGTGAACTCTTCTAATAATATTTTTTAGATTTTAGATTTCACCTCTATATGGCTTTAACAGCTGAAGAACGTATATTTCTAGTCGAACACGTATTTCGGAAAGGTGGTAGATAAGCAGATTTGGTGCGACAGCGATTGCTGATAAATTTTCAAATACACCTGTTCCACATCGCAGTGCATTTCGTAACCTTTCGGGAAATACCAAACGTGGAAAGTCAGCAAAGCTATCGGAGGAGAAACTGCTGAATATTTTTGACAGTATGTTAGCAATGTTAGTCCAGCAGCACGATATTGGCCTTGGAACTGCTCATAAGGCCGCCAGACAAAAATTAAAACTCTTCTGATTCAATAATAATGGCGGTACAAGAACTGAAAGCCATTAATCAAGAAAAGCGACAGAAAATTTTTGTAGGCCGCATTATTTCCATAGACGTGTGGCCACCACGCTTGTCTAATCTAAATCTACCAGACTTTTACCTATGAGGAGCATCAAAATCTACAATGCATGGAGATCGTCCGCGCACACTGGATGACTTGGCAGTTGCGACAACTGCGTTCATTCAGTCTATTCCAAGCGAGCAACTGATCACTGAGTTTAGAAACAAAATAAGAAGGATCCAAGGTTGGATTGATATTAACGGACCTCTGAACATTGTTTCTAATTTTCATTCATATTCACCTCTTGTATTCTATATTGAAACATGTCTGTTAATAAAAAGATATGTGCATAATGACTTTGCGAATACCCTATATATATAAAATGAAAATAAATGGAGAATAGTTCCGCTGTCCGTAATATTTAATTTAAAATAGGGCTCAATACTGAGTAGAGCTAAATATTATTTGTTTTAGGATATTACAACAAAAATATGTTAATAATCGCTACACAATTACAATTATGTTTCAACACAATAAATGTGTCTTCTCGGTCGATGTTTAACTACTGGTGAGTCCAGTAGTTTAGCATCGCCCAAAGAGACACATTTGTAGTGTTGAAACATAATTGTAATTGTGTAGCGATTTTTAACATGCTATTGTTTTAATATCCTAAAATATGATATATATATATAATGAACAATTACGACTGAATAACGAATTCGATCCTCAGTGGGTGCCCCATACTTTCGGCTTTGTGCCACGTCTAAGCTACGCTTAGAAAATCAATATATATATCATGAAAAAATAAATACGCAAAAATTTTCCTTTCTCTCTGCCGGGTGCCGATAGCCTAGGGGTTAGAATCTCCGATTGATGCCAAATCGGTCGAGTTTCGGTCCCGGCTTGAAGCGATCGGATGTCTAGTCACACTGATACTGAAACAGCGATATATATATATAAATAGTATATATATTATATGGATATATATATATATATATATATATATATATGTAGGGACAAGTTAAAAATAATAATTCAACTGTCCCCATCACTCTGTCGCTCAATACATACTGTGGTATATCTTGAATTCATTTAGTTTAATCGGGTGTCAAATGTGACGCTACAGAGAAGCCAAAGTAGTTTTTATGCAATTGTTTAATTAATTAATATGTCAAATTCACTGATTGAGTGGAAGCATTTGAGAAATTGAGTCATGATTGTGCAAGAGTCGCCATAAGGCTGCTGACGAATGCATGTTGCTGAAGCAAACAGCATAAAAAGGACTTACCAAGCATGTGAAGTACACAAGACAAACAGTAGAGCACAAACGTCGGTCGGAGAAACAAAGAAAAGTCGATGTACTTCTTCGCCGAGAGACACGTTTTTCCCCATAAGGACCTTTTTGCCTCGTCACCATCGAACGAATGTCCAGGGACATCAACCATACTTGAGATAAATTCATTCATACTTGGTGATCTCATCTTTTGCGCTAAGTGAAGGACGCTTCCGGTGTAAAGCACGTCCTTTCGGTAGAACGGTGTAACAGTTTTAGGAGACCATCGCATCAGTACTTCCGTTGGAATAACGTCTTGGCTTTTCGCCAGTCGTGCAATTTTTGACTGTTTGTCGTTGTATGTGTTAATACGAACGTGAGGCAAGAAGCTAGTACCAGTTCCAGTGATATCAAGAGAACGGTGTCGTCTGGATGAGTTTCGAACTGGATTGTCTTCAGATTTCAAACGATTTAACATATTGTTATGGTCCGAGCGCATTTCGGTGATTTCATCAACTGTTATTCCGTCTGACATAACTTGTGGAGTTTGAGCAGGCCTGAGTGGACGATAGAAGGCACCAAATATAACACCGTGCAACACAAGGGAAGATGTGATCCACATAGCACCACGCCAGCCAAATAGTTGAAGTAAATAATTGGAAACTGGAGCAAAAAGAAAAGTACCAATTCCAGATCCGCAAACAGCCACTCCCGTTGCAAGGGCGCGCCTTTTGTCGAAATAATAACCAACCATAACGATCGCCGGTAAATACATAAAACCCAAACCAATACCTGTAATATAGAGAGAAACTAATTATTATTATGTATATAGAGAAACTAATTATTATTATATATAGAGAGAGACTAATTATTATTCACGGAGAAATTCATGGATATATTTGAATATTCACGAGATGAGTTTTTTTTTTTTTTTAAATAGAAACGAAATAAAATAATTACAACCATTTTCATGTATTTTCAATCGATATTTCTGACAGATTGCGCGCAACATGTTATAGTTCTTTTCAAAAGCTCGCATTTGATTTTGATTGGCCGTATTTTAGATCAAGATCGAACCATTCATATACCTTGGCCTATCATCTTTTTGGTTAACTAGCTTCACTTCTTTTGTCAAATAGAATACATTTTAAGTAGATTTTTGGGAAGACCAGATTTAGCTCGTTTTATTTGACCGTTTTGTTTGAACACTTTGCTTTTGATGATAGTTAAAACACTTACCTAGAGTTAGTTACCTTTAAGAAACTCTTCAATTTTGATCTGATCTCACAGTCTATGGTTTCTTATGAACATGCTTATTTGGAAACGTCTCAATCTTTTGCATAAAATTCAGGTTCAATTTATATATTCCATTATAGCAACAGGCATTATGTAGGTGTTTGCATACTAGCATCAATTAATACACACACGCACACATATATATTATATATATGATAAAATATAGTATTAATTTATGCTATATTTATGGATTAAAGTGCTCAATATCAGAGATAGAGTGTATGTAAATATAAAAGTAGGCATTGAAGTCAAAACTGAGCGACGACAGTCTGTTTCATGCGTAAACGCAATTGTCAGCCTGAGACTGTCGTCGCTCCGTTTTGACTTCAATGCTCACTTTTATATTTATATTATATATATATATATATATATTTCTACTAAGGTGTGAAATTGCAAGTCACCATGCAGTGTCTATTTTTGTGTCCTCGCTGTTTAGAGCCGTTTATTCCGGATACCAAACACTATTTCCCCATAAAAATAGCATCGTAAACAATATACATTCACACAAACACACACACAAACACGCACGCACACACACATCCACATCTGGACATTGAGTTCTATCTGGATTTTATCCTCTTGGGAATTTATATATATATATATATATATATATATATTGACCACTAATATTATCTATCTATCTATCTATCTATCTATCTATCTATCTATCTATCTATCTATCTATCTATATGTATGTATATATTCTGTTTATACGTTAATAGATACAATCCATTTAAATTAATGCCATGTTTTCTAATTAATTAAACAGTATTAATTACATCTACTGGCCGGAATGTTCGAGAAATTTCGTAGAAAATATGCGTTCTTCAATAGGCCCCTAAATGTAATTAATACAGTTTAATTAAAAAATAGAGCATTCACTTAAATAAATTATATCTATTAAAATAATGTATAAACAGAAAATATTTTAAATAATTGTCGGACTTAATCCATTTCATCGTATGTTGTCATTTTTTACGTTGAGATATATTTCGTGAGGAGATAAGACCGTTTCGGGAAAGATCGTTGAAGATTTGTTGTTTAAAAACAAACATTTTGCTAACCAGACGCTTCTCTATAGCTAAGTGGTATAGCACGTTAAATCAAATGATGGTTCCATATAGGACACAGGTTCGATTCCTGTTGGAAAACGCATATTTTCTATGAAATTTCTCGAGCATTCAGGCCGGTAAATGTAATTAATACTGTTTAATTAAAAAAAAAGAGCATATTAAAATAACGTATAAACAGAAAATATATTAAATCGGACTTAATCCATTTCATAATATATATATATATATATATATATATATATATATATATATATATATATATATATATATATATATATATATATATATATATATATATGTGCTCGGAAAATGAGTAGCCATTATGTATGTATATATGTATGCATGCACATGGTCGAGTGCTTAGTATGTTCTCTTTCCGACCTTGAAACCCGAGATCGAATCTCACCATTGTTGACTTGTCGGGAGGGAGTTATCTGTCTGGGGAGGCGATTCCAGCAGGCGGAACCCTTTAAAAGTGCCTTAAAACCATAGCACGGGTTGTCCCAAGCATTGTTGTGAGGTAAATTGGGAAGACGGAACATCCGTCGATGGTTGTGCTAAAATCTTTTCTGTTAGTAATAAAATTGTTTGTTCGCTCATATAGCAGCGTTTGTCGTGTTACCATGACAACAGATTTTATTTCATTAATCAGAAGAATGGAACCAGTTAGATGACTTGTAAGTCTATTATTATGAACAGAGAGACAAGCAAACAGAATAATCCATCTGTTCATTATAGACGAGATTTACTACGAAAGCAAAACCTTCTATTTTATTAGGTTGGGTCAGGATATCAGAAGCGGTTGCTGGTAGTACAGCAATAGAGGGTGGGTGTACCTTCAGGCTAATAACTCATAATTCGTTTTTTGACTTTTTACAGACAGCGGCTAATCGACAGGCTGATAAAATGGCGTCTGACATGAAGTTGCGTATGAAGCAGAAGTGACATTGAATTCCTCCATGCGGAAAAAATTCACCGATTGACATTTATCATTGATATTCATCTTGGTGAATGCTTACGGAGAACAAACAGTGGATGTCAGCACAGTTAGTTTACTGCAGCTTAGAAGTGGTGAAAACGATATGTGCTACAATCCATATGATTCGTCGTTGGAAATTTGTTCAATCCCACGGTGTTATTATGCTTCCTGTATTTGTTTTATTTTAGTTTCTGTGAAAATAAATATAAAGTTTTACTTTTGAAGCATCCTGTGTGTATGTGTGTGTGCGTGCGTGAGTGTGTGTGTGTGTGTGTGTGTGTGTGTGTGTGTGTGTGTGTGATTGTAAAGTGATATGCCAATAATGAGAAACAATTCTCTAATAATATGTAATTTCTCTCTTCACCTGAATAATGGTAGGTATGTGACGTGACATGAAGTCTGTGAGGTGCTGGAATCGATGTATAAGTATATCTAGCAAGGTATGTTCCCGGGCTGTCCATAATTCTGCGTGTTGAATGTAGATTCAGTGAAATTGTGAAGATCTATAATGTCCCATACGGTGTAGAACCTAAAGGTCAGCAGAGTGTTCGCGTCATACACGCATGCTCAGTAAATGTGCTATTTTCCTTAACGAGGCCAACCACTATTAGAAAACACAGAGAGTATAAAGGAGAGTTGTAAGTGGTTTTCAACAAGATCTGAGTCTGCCAAGACAGACCTAGTTTTCATTAGTGGTCCTTCTGAGCGCCAACATAATACGCCTCACACCATTATTGATTCCCAATCAGGGAACCTTGCTGAGAGGTTGAACATAGAGCCATATGGTCATCCGCACTTGAAGTTGACCGTCAACCTGAAAGAGTTGTAAACGTGACTCATCTGACCAGGTGACGCTATGCCATTCTTACATGTTCTTTGTCACGGTGTCAATAAAGATATCATTGTTAATCAAAGTCAACGAAACGACATGAAAAGCAGGAACATTTCGCTGATTCATGGATTGAGTTACACTAGCGTTGAATTGAAATGTGAATTAATGTATGGCTACTATCTTTCTTAGTCGCTTACCGTTTGATTTATTGTATCCCCTGTTGGCAAACGGAATTCGCTTACTTCCGGTATACCATTGCTTGATAAAATCGGAAATAGAGTCCTACATAATCATTCCAGGCTGAAACTGATAAATACAGGCCAAGTCTCACGGCTGTCGCAACTACATATTGTCACAGCCATATCACCTCTTTACATTGTCCCAGCCACATCACTTCTTTACCGAGTACATCAAAGATACGTCATTTAGCTGAGTCGAACAAAACTTCACACACACACTCTAGTCTTTTTTAGAAGTCATCGCAAAAATTGCCAAATGTATTTGCAAATACCTGAAAAAATAACAGGAAACAAATCAGTCAACATGGTAGAATACTGTCAACTCATGCCACCTAGCGCCATATTTGAATTTCGGTATTCTCGCGTGAGAAACTTTGAAATAATCAAATATTTCTTTTTGCTGCCATTTTACATGTCAATATTCATTTCGACAGTTACATTAAAAAAAAAGACGACAGAAAAAAAAAAAAAAAATAGCAAAAAAAAAAAAAAAAAAATGCACTTACCGCCGAGAACACCAAAAGTAACGATAAGCCAAACAATGGAAGTAGAAAAGGCACTACAAAAAATGGCGATACTACAAAAGATGGCTCCAAAAATTGTGACTTTTCGGCAGCCATATTTATCGGCGATGCAGCTGACAATTGGACCTGCAGAAGAATAACGTTATGTTTTAAGATCATTACTAAATCCCTTTTCATTTGATGACGTGCAAGAATAATAAATCAGGTAAAAGTAACAATAACAACATCAATTGATATCAATTTCATTCAAAGGCGCTTGACTAATGCTTAGCAAACTTGTGTCGATATCCATAGCAAGTATAGTGAGTTCGATCCTCACTTGGTGTCATAGCCATTCATGAATGGTTTCAAAATATAATGCACTCAACGTGAAATGGAGAAATTTTTTTCAACTTGCACTGAAAAATGAGAGGATTTAGGTGAATCCCTGATTACCGAATCGTCCCAATAGGCAATTGCTAATGGAAACATTCACTTATCCAATGTACACGTGGAATCAACATTTTAAACACGGCCTGGTACCATATCCCTTTCTGTACTTTGGGGTGTGGAGGGCCCATCCCGATTAAGCTAAGCTTTCTAGATATCATTAATTAGTGAATTATTTATTAATTAGTGAATTTAAATCTCTAATTTCATTTTCTTATTTCACGTATTCAAGGCCAAAGTTGACCTTTACAGTAGGGAAGAGGTCGATTTTGGAAGCATGGTAATACGTCCAATTTGAAAGTTTGGGCTTAACATTATAAATAATGAGGCAAAATATTTTTTCTAAATCTTTACCAGGAGAAAACAAGTTTAAAGCATAAGTTTAGGTTCAAAATTGGATCGTTAAAATTTAATTCCTGTGATCAGTGAAAGCCTCATAGCACAAACTTATAAAATTTATAATTTGAAATAGATGCAGTTAGTTGGTTAGAGATTAAAAGGGATAATAAAAAATCCATAACCAACAAATGTCTACTTTAACTTGATCCAGAGAATAAAGCAACAGTCGACCGAAATGCATAAAAAATGACAGTACAATACTTTCGCTTTGTTTCCAGAAAATATTCTTTTCTCAAATGTTGAAGTCAGATGAAATGGAGATGAGGGAAGAGGTTATAAAATAATTTTTCTATTTGAAAAGTAAACATTTAGTCATACTTAATTACTTATGTCAATTTATAAGACTAATTTTACAATTTCATTCAAATTACACCACATAAACAAATATAGGTAAATTAAAATATTTTTTGTTTCAAAAGTACCGAGTCACCGAAGAGATTTAAAAAACTACATTCATCAACTCTGAAGTGATACACTGTTCACCTTTAAACACTTCACTTTTATCTCTTTAATTAACAAATGGTGTAAGATTTTATTCATTGATTAGCCTTTTTGTAATCTTTTTACAAACTTTTACAGTTTTCACTTATCGAATATAGTATATATATATATATATATATATATATATATATATATATATTATATATGATTCGTAATTAGAATTGTGTTTAGAATATATTTTCTATTCAAGGTATCTAATACGAAAACATCCACTTTATTTGGATTTTTTCTTGTAATAGTAAAATTTTGAAGTCAGTCTGCGGAAATTAGGTATTTCTGTACATTTTTTCAGACGATATTTAAACCTAAAAAAATGCTAAAAAGCTATGAATCTAATTTTTATTCTATCAAATCCCTGTTTTTGCATCGTGTGCACTGTTGATTTTCTAAAAGAAAGTAAAAAATAAACCTGTCCTAATGTACAGGTCAAGGACAGAAGAAAGAGAATTCATCAGAGCGTAATCAGTATCGCCGTAAAGCAGGTATTAGCCAAATCAGTGTGCTGGAGAAAAAAAAATGAAGACAAAGCGCGCATTAAAAAAGGGGGACGTTATGTAAAAAATGTTTGGTTCTCAACAGATAAAGTAGTAAAGATTTTAACTAACCTCATTTGACACTTAATAAATATTCAAAACTAAAAGTACTTTTTAAGATAATGAATTAAAATAATTAACGGATGAAGATTATTATTTCCTTTTGAACATCAAAGGTAATATCTACATTTAAATAAAGTAGAAACTGCAAAGAGTTGGCAGTAACTTTCGTGATATTTTTACATGAGAGATTCAGATTTCAAACACTCCACTAGTCGCAATTAGTATCCGTCATTAATGACAGAGCATTTGATTTCAACGAAAGTTTTTTCTTCTTCTTCGCTTGCCCTTAAAGCGATTAGATTAATACAACGTTAAATATCAGGAATATGAATTAAGAAAAATACAACATTTACGAAAATAAGCTTATTTTGCTCTTTTAAATCTGTTATTTTAATCAAAGGAAAAAGTATAAAAGATTAAGTTACGTGACATGCGTGATACACGCTTAGGCGATCATGTATCTTTCGATATATGGCTGACGAACAGGTTTTTTTCCCCACAGTAGGTTGCCATTTCCTTCTGTAGTATACCAGTTATCATCCAAGGCTATAGAATCCTGTCTGTTCTGCTATTTAACCATAGCTTGTGGGGGGGGGGGGAGAAGTGGATTCATACCTTTCCCAAGCGTATAGCACGTAAGCGAATGTAATGGATTCGACTGGAATTCGAACTCGCAATCCGAGCCGCTATCCATTACTCCACCGTGCCTCCTCAAAAAAATAAATAAATAAATAAAATAAAATAAAAATAAAAATAAAAAATAGATTACAGAAAGTATTAACAGCCAATTTTGTCCAATTTTAGGACTCAAATGTAATATCAGAAGATTTAGCACGGTTATAAACATATTTTGGTACGTGTGTAATATTTTCTGAACTCATTTTAGATTTTATTTTAAAAAAAACCCAAAAAAACTTTTAACCCTTTCGGTTGTCAGAATATATAGTAATCTGCCAACTGGGTGCTTTCAATGTTGGCAATGAGTAGAACAGCATTTTAATATTAATATTTGCCAAGTCAGATAGAGTACATTATTTACATTATTCGGACTATTGTCCTCCTCTTTGTCGCCATATTTATCACAACGTTTCGGCCGTTGTACGCTCCGGACCTCATCAGGTGGTTGGAATTTCGAACTGAACCCTTTATTTCGCTCACTGGGGTAGATTGTTCTAGTTCCACGTGCCATGTTTTTGATGGATGTCAAACCACCTGAAGAAGGCCGGAACGTACAACGGCCGAAACGTTGTGATAAATATGGCGACAAAGATGAGGACATTAGTCCGAATAATGTAATTTAAACGCAGTACTAGATTAGCAGCTCGTTGAGATTGGTAGATGGAACCGTAAGTTCTATTCTAACTATTTCTTCTCTCATACATTTAAATTTTTGAACATCCTAGTTGACAGGAAAGCGGCAACCCGGAAAAGACTTCCACAGGTACTCTTTTTCGAGTTCTTGCTTTCCTGTCAACGACGATGTTTTAAAAAATGTATATCAGCCCCAGTCGTCATCTTCTGCCTCATTGAACCCTTTTTTTAGTGTCCTCTTGCTTCAATAACGTTTTCTCAGATTATTTCACTCTCATTAACCCATTGCGTCTTATTGGCTTTATCGCCTTACTCGAAATTAAATGATAAAAATATTATATTGTTATGTCATTTTAGTCCTATGAATGCATTCACTTTTACATAACACCATTTAGGTTCTTTTGTTATTTTTATAATTAGAACGAACATGCTCAATAAGTTGACTTGTGCTGTATTTGATGAAATAAAATAAAATTTATTAATCTGTAAAATGTATCCCCAGCGCTTTTAATACATCCTGTGATGTATTTGCGTGTGATCATTATTTTCTCTTCAGAAAAAATGGCTCTAACGTCACAATAACGTTGAGAACAGAAAGTGTTGATGTTTTCTTAACTAAAACAATGGGATGGACGCACATGTGAATAAGAATAAATACGCAATGCAACTTGCCACAAGACGAACACGTTGAACATTCGCAGCTTGTAAAATACATTATTTGGGGACAAATATCAAATTTTAACTTGTACAAATATAATAAATTAAATGAACTAATACAGGTAGGCATTTGATTAGCATGACATAAGTGTACAATTTCGGAGCACCCATTGGCGTTAGAACTCATCCAAGAAGAATGGTTCCGGTAATTATATTGCTAACACCCCCGAAATATTCCCTCGGTATTTATGAATCTTTTTTTAAATCTGGTACAAGGCCATAATAGCATGAGCACTGAAATTCACTTGCAATGGCGTATGAAATTAATTTCATAACCATCGTTCTACGACAGCCACTTTATTTGATAACTGCTTCAGGCGGAGTAAAGACAGAATAAAGAGTGAATAGTCTGGCCATTGTGTCTTGATAAAAAGTATAAAACCAAAAAATAGTGATAGCAGTGTGGGAGGATCGAACTCGCCTGCAACATCGTGTGAAACTATCGATTACTTTCACCCTACAGTAGGTACCATCAAAAGTTATCTGCTAGAATTCATAGGGAAGTGAAAATATGAGAAATTCATGTTACAAACATAAAAAGTAATTGTTTTGTATTTTTATTTGATACTTACCCACAAAAAGATAACTGCCATTTAAAACGGACATGACCCATGCTGTCTGCGATGTGGTGGAGCCAAATTCATGTTTGAAGTCATTCAGAAAAACGCCAACGCTCAGGCAAATACCGTCGACAAGAACGCTGATCATGAAAGAGGAAACTGTGACTACCCATCCCCAGCCGCCATCAGGGGCCACGGACATGGCCGGTAAGTCATGGGTGGGCATTCTGACAAACTGTACCAATTACACCAATACCTGAAAGATATATGACGACTTACCAAGAGTTGTCAACTTCATTTGAGATAATTTATTAAGCTTAGCTTAATAAAGTACAAAATAGAGAAAGACTGTAACACAATAAACTTTTGAATTGGAAGAGTTTGCCTGCTTAGGAAATGAGCATTTTATATCTTGACTTTTACGCGGGATCCTATACTGACATCTTGTACTTACATGGTGATTTTCTAAGAGTAGCTTAATTTAAGCAAGTACAAGGCCGAAAATACGGAGCATCCAGTAAAGATCCAAGGCCGTTAGTGTGAAGTGAACCCAACAGCCTCGTTTAGAACTGAAATGTTTGTCGATAATCGTTATCACTTTTCATTTAAGAGAGTTTTATTGAAGTTTTATTTATCCCACTTGACTTTCTTTAAACAAAAGCGCCGTCGTTGGGGCTACGCTCCTTAAATAGGAAATGATATTCTGCCTCATTCTCTTTCCTCTGTTATAACTTTGACTATAAGATGTAGTTGCACGTGGGGGAAAAGTATCACCCACTGGGGTGCGTTCATGTTCAATGTCTTTTCTCGTGACTTTTTGTCTGTCACGTAGGCTTACAAACACACACACATACACGCACAAAAAAAAATATTCCCTATTTTAAATGCTTTATGAAACTAGTCTTTAAATGTATTGTTCGTTTATTGTAATTGTAAGAATTTTGTTAATACGCGCATTGTCGTTTGTTTTATATAATTTTTGTGTTACTCATTTATTACTCGGACTCACATTTGAGTCTGCAATAATTGTTATGGGAAAATATACCAGGAGACACGTATTTTCTACATAAAAAACATCAAGCATTCCCGCAACAATATAAGCCATAGCACTTTCAATTATCGTTGGTTATTTTTAGTTCTAATTGCTGTCAAGATGACACATCAGACATACATTGATTTTTGAAACCATGGTTGAAAAAGAAACGAGATGATTTTTACACACGACAATGTTCCTTCATATTCAACGAAGAAACTTGATGAATATTTGATGAGGTGTGACTGCTTTTTTCATTCTACCTTAATCCAACTGAAAACTTGTGGAACACTATGAAGAGGAAGGTTTACATTGGCGGACGATAATTTACCATCAAAGATGAACTTTGGAATGTTATGGAGATTATGCGATTTGTTTTATATGAAGAAATACTAAAACTGAAAAAAATAAATCATTAGATCAACGATTCTATAACTGGTTAAGAACATGAATTTTGTATTTCCCATTAACGTTGGCTTTACGATTAAAATAAAAACTGTTTCATTTTTTGTTCAAACTATTCGAGTTTGTAAACTTTGTTCACATTCTTTAATTATAGTTTTTAATTACAATATAAATTGGAGCTTTAATAACATAATTACTTCTACAATTTATACACGTTATATGAAATATGCTGCACATTAATAGTGCAAATATGGTGCATTGTGGCTGAGCAGACTAAAAAGCATGCCGAGCGATACTGTGGTTTCCCCCACGTAAGTTTCATGCTGGACGCAATTGTCGGGCGGCCTGACGATTGCGTCCAGCATGAAAACAGCCTGACGCGAATGTCAGTGTATTATTATGTCACCTTTTTCAACTTTACTACTACAGGTCGTAGTCTAATATATCGTACCTTTCTGAAATCAGGCCGACTCTTGGAGCAAATTAAAAACATTCTGAGCCGGATTCCGATCCGCAATCCTGATTTTTTTATTTCCAAGTTTTCATTACTGTCATTGTTTTCGGCGAACTTTTACGTGATTATTTGCGATTAATTTTTTATACGATAACAATTTTTATAACTTGGAAATAAATTTGAGAATAATCGAAATTAATTGCGAAATCCAGCGAAAGTCACCCATGAAATAATAATTGTTTGTACAGAAACTAAGGACCTACGTACATCAAATTGTCTTTAAATTAAGTGGCGGCAGAAAAATTATCACTGAACCTTTAAACGGTAAGCTTAAATATTAATGCAATACTTAAATGCAGCGATCGATTTTGAGTTCTTCTGTAGTTTATTGCTGCCTATCGCATCTATCCCTCCTATCTATTGTTATGAAGGCCCAATCTAGAGCTTTCCACAGAGTTAGCTTAAATGCAGTCCGATAGGACGGCTTTTGCTAGTATATATATATATATATATATATATATATATATATATATATATATATATATATATAAAGTGAACATAGAAGTCAGCATAGGGCGACAGTTCTGTTTCATGCTGGATGCAATCGTCAGGTCACGTTATGGCCTGACGTTTGCATCCAGAAACAGACTGTCGCCTCTAAGTGTTGACTTCTATGTTCCCTTTTATATTTACACATGGTCTATCTCTGATATTGAGCACTTTATTCCATAAATATAGCACATCTTAAGACTATATTTCTTCATATATATATATATATATATATATATATATATATATATATATATATCGCCACGTAGACATTCGGAAGAAATTCCCAGATCCTAGTGCTGACACAAATTGAAAGCGTCGCCTTTGTTTAGATCCGAAATATTACTGACTGGATGAAATGTTAATGAAAGGAACCACCTAGAATTGCAATTAATCTTTTCTAATATCATATTAAACAAAGTTCCGCATTCAATCTGGAGAATATGCATTGAAAAACTTAAATCCTGAAGGAAGATAATTGTCTATGGTCATGAATTATCGCTCTATTACGAGCCGAATATGACCATATTGTAATTGCATTGCTAATGATTATAATACACTGAAAATCATGTTGAAAAGTATTGTTTGTGGTCATGAAAGCAGTACTGAGAGAATAGCATGATTATAAGTAGAATGAAATTGCATTGCAAAGGGTTTTATTATAGTAATGCATTAAGAATAGTGACGGAAGGAATTGTCAGAATACATCAATTATGGATTATCAGTTATTGTTACTAATAGTAATTCACTAAGAATAACGGAGACGATGCTTGTAAATGTTAGTAATACGTGCAAACATTATTAACTGAACATATACAGGAGGGGGTTCCATTGGAAAAGATTTTACAATACTGATGCATTCAAAATCACAAAGAAAGGAATTGCCAGTGATCAGGAACTGATACAAACATCACTGACATAATCACTTCAGTTGTGTGCTATGTGTGATACACGCTTAGGCGATCATGTATCTTTCGATACATGACTGACGAGGGAGATTTTTTCCCGCAGTAGGTTGCCATTTCTTTCTGTAGTAGACCAGTTGCCATCTGTGACACTGCGCTGTCGGCCCGTGGTCAACTCCCAGTCGTGGCGCGAAGCTGTAATGTTTCTTCCACCGGCGTTTTGGGGTTGAGTCTTAGTCGCTGCCACAAGCCTGTGTGCCGGTCGATCGGTGGTCGTACCCGGTTCGATACCAGCTCCGTCGTTCCCAGCTCACTTCCAACGTCTGGTTACCGAAGTAACTGCTTCGATCTTAAGTCTAACCTACCCACGTTGTGATTTTGATCTTAGGTAGATGAGATCAATCAGGCGTCGGGCCGTAGTGTAAGTTGAGTCCAGACTGAAGGTGATATCGTAAAGAAAAGGATCAAATAAAATAAAAACCCAAGATGTTCAAGTATGTTAAGAAATAACAAATTAACTTTATCCGTCTGTTAAATACAGGAGTGTGTTTTCCTCCCAGCCCGCTTTCTACGGATTGTGACACTTCTACGTTTCTTAAGCAAGTTTTGGTATCTTAAGTCAACTGGTTTAGTTCTTAGGTGCTGGCTTGGCTTCGTTCGTCAGTACAACTTGCTATTGGTAGGATAGGCCAAGTCGGAGGTAGTGGAATCTCTCGGCCAGTTTCTGCGAGGCAACACTCTGGTTCCAGCTACCCGAACTAACTATGACTGATTGTACTGTCGAATGGCCCGAAGACGTTCGTTTATATGGGTACCGACCAAAACCCGATGCGGGGCCAGATGCGGCCTGGGGTTCTCGGTAAATCTTAATTCCCAACAAGAATTCTCTTTGTTATTAGGCGAGGAAAATTAATTACTTCCCATTTTTGGAAAATTAATCACTTTCCATTTTGTGGGATCTCCCTCGTCCGTGAGGGGAGGTCGGAAGAGAGCTGTCTTCCTAAACTCTTCCTCTCTCATATTGATATCTCATACCAATCCCTTCAGTGCATGTTAATAACTTCTCCGTCCTTCTCATCCATTCACCTCCGCCTATCACCATTGCTAACACTCGACAAATGGCATCCCGGCCGTGCAGTTGTGGCTAAGCTGGCCTCCTTAAAATTATAACCCAGAATTTTCTGTTTACAAAATTCTTCTTTTTTCCACCGGCCAAAATTTTTACGAATTCCACGTTGCCACTTGAAATCTATCATATCTTTTGGTCACTCAGAATCCACTTAGCCAGCACTCTTTACCAATTCCATCAATAACTTTCAAAGTTCGCCATCTGGCCCCTTCATGAAGTTAGCTTTTACTGGAACCCTTGGCTTCTTGAGAAATTAAATTCCTTATCTCACCAAATCACAATTTTTCCACACTATCTTTTCTCATGTCCAAAATTTTAGAATCACCATATTGCTACTCAACGTCTCGGCGTCTGAAAGAGACACTTTGGTAAAGTAAACAATAATAATCCTCTCCACCCGTATCTGGATAAATTTTTCTCTCATGCCAAAATTCCCACAAATACCATATGGTTTTTGCCTTACCGGCACTCAAGAAAGAAAAATAAATGATATCTTGGAAGACAATTAACATTGATTCTCTTTACCCCGTATCGGTAATCATTTCAGGCCGAAATTTTTATGACCACCATGTAGTCTACCCGATATCTTAATACTTTGCCTTTTTTTCTGAAATCTAATGTTTCCCTCGGCAAGGCATTTCTTTACAACAATATTAATTTGACAAAATCTCACATATGGCTTTTTCTACGGGTCCACTGTCTTTTGTGAAAAGTAACTTTTTTTTTCGGAAATAAAATGAAATCTTTTTAATATCGAACGGTATATCTTTCGGGCTATCCT